TTGTGATGTTCCCGCGTACTATCTATAAAATTGTTTTTAAAACCCTGACAAATTCTATTCGCAAAGTTATGGAAAGAGTGATAAAACTATGTATTTATGACGAAATCAAAGTTTGTTTCTGGAATTTCGAAATGAAAACCGTATTTTATGCATTGGGGTTAAAATAGTGTACTGGGGTGCTGCAATCTCTAGGTTATTTTTGAGAAATTTGGAAAAATTGTATTTTTACGGTAATCTAATTGCAAATTGATTCATAGAACTTCGAAAACGTATTCCATCAAAACCTACTGTTTTGAACACACTTGGAGAAATTTCACTTATCTGTATTTATTATAACGCTGGGTCTACTTATTGGGGCATTGGGAATTTGATAAGATATTAATGATATCTAAAGAAGGTGAACTGTATGTAAACCATCACAATAGATAAGTAAAACTTCTCCAATTGCGTTTATTCGTATTACGCAAGTAGGTATTAAAATTTTGCACCAAGAATTTTGGTCAGTTGTTTTCTCTAAAGATTGCACTTAGATTCACTCATAGTAATCGAAATTTATGATCAATTTTTCACCCATTACCCAGTTGAGTTAAAAAATTAGAAGTGTACAGAGACCAAGAAGTAAAAGTATTTATTTTTAAGCAAAGCGATTTTTATTTGAATGTAAATTTGTATTAAATGGTAAAAAAAAATGAATCGTTCGTATGATATAAGTATTTATTGATTTGGGATATTACATGCCGGGAGCGCCTTTTATTACTGATTAAAAATGTAAAGAAAAAGTTTTTTATTTATGAGAATCTCACTAAATAATATTAGAACAATGACAACAAAGGGCACATTCCTGTCATAAAAAGAACCAAACTTTCTATTACATGCAGGCATTAAGGGTGGCACATGCAGAGGTGCAACGTAAATTAACGATTTTATGTTGTACGTTAGACCTTGTTTGTGTAAAGTTTACATACAACATATACCACATTTTGCTTATGCTGAGTTTGCAAGAGTCAGGTCTCCTCCCCTAATTTAATCACTTAATGGATTTTCTTATGAGAGAGCACGAGTGTCTTGTGTAACAACGAACACGAAAAATGCATATACAGTGTAAACTCTTTATAACGTCACTCGATTTAACGACAAACTCCTTAAAACGTCGAAATTGCTTGACTTTGGTTGGTTTACATTGTTTTCTATACAATATTACACTCTATATAGCGTCACGCTCACTCTATTTAACGACAACAATGCGGCATTATAAATCATTAAGCAGTAGTTTGTATGTTGCCGAAATAGATAAGAACTGCAGCTGTGTACGTTGTTGAAGAAGACGACCCTGTCCCTCCACCAAGCATCAAACAAGCACTTGATGCAGTCAAACTATTAAAAAAATACTTTTTATATAATCAAATTGATCCAGCAGTATCTCAAAATATGAGTAAGATACGTAACAAAATACAATTAAAATATTGGAGCAGCAAAAAACATCAGACGAAGATAACAGGCTATACGCAATGTATGAATAATAATGTTCGTGTGCAAAATGTGTACTATATTGGTAAATGCATATTATTATAGAATAGTAAAATAATATCTTTTATTTCTCTCCATTTAACGACCACTTTTTATAACGCCGAAAAATGTTCGGTCCCTTAAGTGTCGTTATATAGAGTTTACACTGTATTACTAATACACAGAACTACACCGAATTATCTTTGAGTGGAAATAATTCAATCATCACAAATTTACTTTTGAAATGAGTACCATATTTTTTATTTCATTTATATTCGACATTCTGCTTGTTAATCATCTTCAAAAATTCCCATGATTAAGATTAATCATTGAATACGGTTGCAACAATTCAAACAATTGCTAACAACAACAAAATGTAAATTATTTTGCGACACTATGGTCTAAAAACGTACACAGATTTTTTTAAGTGTCGAACAATATATAGAGAATATTATTAAATTACTTTATGCTGACGAAACACGTAAAAAAATAAATTTACTGATAACTAACAATCAGAAAGATTTATCTACAATTTTTTTATTATCGGGACTGCTTACTGATACAGTCTACTAACGTCAGCCCCATTTCATCTTTGCGTGAGAGTGATGATGTCCGTTCTAAGTTTTCAATAGGAGTAAATAATAACTTGCCAGCTATCACCTATTTTACTATTTACTTAACAAACATATATAATAATTAAATCAAACTAATACAAAATAATATTCAATACGAGGCTAGGGTGTGACAGTTTTCCTCATTAATTTGAGGTAATCTGTAGAGGGGTAATTCACATTACGTTTAATTAAATTATTAACTTGTATCAAGTTGAAAGAATTTTCTTCAAAATATACGTACATATAATGTTGCTTATATTTTATAAAAATAAACGATAAAGCGTTTTTTAATTAAATTTTATATGGACCTACTATATATAAAACACCTCCCTTATTACAGAGCCGTTAGCCCCTAAGCACCTGTCTGGGCCTCATAGATATAGATAAGAAAGTCTCGTTTTTGTAAGCCTAATTTTTTTAATTAAGAATAATTGAAATTATGTATTTCTACTGAAAATTGAACACTATATCATTAATTAATTTAAGAGAACTAAAGTCGAGAAAGTCAGTTTGTTTAATTATAATTTTTTTTAAACCTTCAATAGAAAATCAACAGCCTTAAAGGAGCTCCTTATCAAACTTTAGTCCTGGGTATCATTTGTCGCAAAACCTGCAGCACCATGGGCTCACCAACGCTGGATGTTACAAATAATACATCTTTTTACATTCACTAATAGTCAATCAGTTTAGATAGTAGAATAATATTCGGAAAATTACTTTAAAATAATATAATGTTAATCGCTGCATTTACGTTTCTGTATGCATATATTGTATATTTCTTAATATGTATCTAAACCATCTTATAATTTAATATTCCTTGTAATACTCTTTAATAATTGTCTGACGAAACAAATGTAATTTATTCTTTAATATAATTCATTGTAACTGATTTTGATTAAATTTTTATTTAAGTAAGTAGAAAATATTATTATATTCTTATTTGAAAAGAGTATAATTGTCTATCTTATTCAATACATTCATAAAAAATATTAAAAAAAAGGTCATATACATAACTCTTTAAT